CTGCCATATTAGCGACTTTTTTTGCGTTTACACGCCGATAACTCAAAAAAGTTACCGGCCGATTTTCTTTTTTCTTTCACTATACGAAAGAACATACATTTGTGAGTATGTATGATGAATTTCTTGTTAATCCAACAATAAATATGGCAGTTAAAAGCCTGCTAAGCGTAAGATGTCGCCGGCTGAAGCGGGATCGGCGGACGCGGGAAACGCGGCAATCACAATTTTGTGTTTACACACTCATAACTCAAGTTGTTACCGGCCGATTTTCAAAATTATTTGACCATAAGATTGCCTGTACATTTTTTAGTCTTCTCACAAAACTTGACGCGAATCGAATATAATCAGCGGTAAGGAGCGCGATGTAAAGACGGAACCGTCCCGCCCCGGCACAGTCTACAATTCAGGCGGCGCGTAACGGCTAGCGCCGGCCGCCGCGCCGCCACGCCACGGCGGCGGCAGGATGTTTGACTTTACACCGCTATTACTAGAAAAGTTAAGAACCGATTTTTTTTATTTCTTGCACGAGAAGATCCGCAGTTCAATTCTGGACAGGTGGCCAAAATTTCACAAGAATATCATGTTTGCGGCGCGAGTTATTGGCGAAAAACAGGAGGGGTGGGCGAAATCCGCCCCCCTTCCACTGCGAGTGTTAAAAGCGAAAGTACCTACCTAATTTCCGAATTATTGATAAAACTACATCGTAAATAAATGAATTTGTACGTTAAAACGTTTTGTTTACCTGGTTTACCACTACCTAGCTTTCTTCGTTCTCTCCTGCTCGTTGGCGGTATGTGGACTGACAACGGTGCGATTCCGGCAATTTCATTGGTAGTTGGATGACGTTAAAGGGACACTCCCACCTTAACATTAGTTTCGAGTTGAGATAGCCAAATTGGTGGCCATGGCCTGCAAATACCGGTTTGGGCACTCACAACATCGAAAAATGCTTTAATTCGAAGATATGGAATTTCAAACTTGCAGTTTTCGGATTCTAAGGGGCTAATGCATTGGAATGCCCCCTTAGAATTTGTGACGTCAGCGGAGATCTAACGATTTTTAAATCTTAGACTAAAACCATCGTTAACACGTGGTGGTGTACGCTGCTTTGCGCGCAACGTCTGCCGCACTTTAAGGCTGCCAAATTATTGCTTCCAAATAAAGTCGCTAGTAACAGGGAGATCCCAAAAAGTAAACAAAAGTAAAAGCCTAATATCTTGAAAACCAGTGAATATTTTTCGGTGAAATTTAGTAGATATTCGTTTTCGCTCTTTCTGAACCAAGGGACATCACTTTCATGCCAATTCATTAACTTTTTTGAAGGTGGGAGGGTCCCTTTAATTGTATTTTACGTCACACGAGTCCAGATAAACAAAGACATTACACGAATCTGTGGCTTGCGTGGGTAATCTCAGCGAGCAGCTGTCGACAGTAAATAACTTAGAAGGAGCTCTCCGCAGCAGCATATACGTCTGCGTTGCTGGTCATACATACAAAAACAAGCACGTGTGGTAGGTAAGTACGAACATGGATCGTTTTGGCTAGTTTTATCGTTATCGTATTATCATATTGCATTATCGTGTCGTACATATTATCGTTAGTTAGGCAAAGTAAGGTTAGACCACGGGCACATTATGTAATAATGGACGGCGATAGCTCTCCATACTCGGATGGTACGGTATCGCAAATTGATTCAGAACTAGTCCTCTTGTGAACAACCTCTTGGGACATCCTGAAGAGCACGCTGATGACTACAATAAGCCTTTGGAAGTTCAGCTTTCGACGGCAGTATTAACGGAAATTGCTTCCATCCTCATCAAGTCTGGGTTGAAGCGTCCGGCCTCCTCGAATGAGTTAAAGCCGGCAGAGGAAATGCGTCTCTGTCAGACGCGTAGCGCATTCAGAAGTGCCGAGAGTAGTAACAGGTTCACAGGATTTACTCAGCGCCTCAATTTCGCCATGGTGATTGGTGGGATGTATCTCGTAAACAAGATCTACAGGACCTGATAGAATTGAAATTAGCAGGCCTTTTATCTGAAGGTGATAGGAAGGCTTGAGTTTTTTTTTAAATAATATCAGCCTCTGTAAATCATTATGAAGGCATTGGAGGGTTAGACTACCAGGTGAGATCGGTTCACAGGGCCACCAGTCTTTCGTAGCCTCAGTTTTTGTCCTTAGCTATCAAATGACCGATAAACATTTAATGCATAGGCATTTTTGTGTGCTTTCGAGTGCCACTTGTCTTGTCCGTTTTCTTTATGCGCTGCTTTTTTGTACTTGGAAGTCGGAAATACGGGGAATAGCACATATATAGTACATACGTAGCCGCATCCATCCGTGCGAAGCTGGCCCATATACCCGTCTGTGTAATTGTGTGACAACACATCGGGTCAGTCTGTTACTCATGACATTCAAGGTTTTGGCGTTCATTTTCCAAATTAAATTACCATATTAGGATACCATATGAGCTAATTTCTACATTTTGTCATGGGATGCATCACAGCCAACTGCAATGGATACTGCATTTGCAACGAGCTGTACAACTGCTCGTGGAGGCTATTTAGATAAGGAACGGGCCATTTTTCTGCTCAGAATTTAAATCGTCGTGAATGCTTATGATGGAATGAAACTCCACTGCCGGACTCTAGACTGATTACAGTGCCGATTCATGGGTGCAATGCCAGTGTTGCTTTGTCCTGCTGCCGCTCGGTGGCTAGGTTTGATTGTCGAATTTAAATGAGAAATGTAACCACGGAGTGAGCCATGAGCATTCACCGAAAGGGCAGTCGGTTGAGTCAATCGGTTTTCAGTATACCCTTTGGCCGGCTTCTGATAATGACGATGCAACTTACGAAATAACTAAACAAAATAAATGGGCATGAAATAGCCGACCTTCATGCTACACTATTTTCCCACGTGTGCTGAGGCATGATCCGTATAGGAGTTCATTGGCTTACTCATTCATTATGAAATGTATCCATTCCATCCATTATGGAATGTAACCAGGTAAGATATCCGCGTGTGTTTGCGTATTGTGCTGCGTTGTGCAAATGTATTTCGCAAGGAGGGTTCAGCTGTATGCTGGGCAGTTTTGTTTATTGTTTGTTTATCACAGCCAGAAGCTACAAGCCTTGTACCCTCTGGCTAGTAGAGCTGTGATAAACAAACAATAAACAAAAATAAAACATTCGTTAGCCCTCGTGGTGTCTGGGCCGCACAGACTGGTCTTCGCCAACACATGTACTACATTTAGAGCGTACAGAGAGCGGCATTGGAACATTAACACATACCTAATATCGTATGGTGCATGATGCGCAAAAGTATGGATGAAGCTCCGCACTATCTTCCAAATAATTTAAAAGCCAAGGACTTTTATTTTGCTTCAGTCATGAAGCCGCCGAACGGTTGGTCGCCACGCCCCGCGGATGCGACGCTCTTTGTTACCGGCGGCCAGTCGGTGCAATAGTTTACGTATGTATGTGGTGTGGCGTACCTACTGCCCGCCAACTGAGCGCATGTGCGTTTTGCAGTGAGAAGTGGTTGAAGCTCCCTGAAATATAGGAAGTATCATTAGAATATATGACCTTCTTCTCGGAAAATGACAAAATGAATGAAAATGATTATTACGAGCGAGCGAGCGCAGCGAGCGAAGTGAGTCTTTTCAATATAACGGAAAAATCTCAGTATGATCGGCCCGGCCCGGCCCGGCCTGTAACGCTTTTGAGAGGCTTATATCTCAGCAACCGCTGGACCGATTGGCCTGCGGTCTTTTTTGCTGGGTAGCCCCATCCCTTCTACCCCGTAATTGACTACTTTTGATACATCTCAGTGACCGCCGTGGCACGTGCCACGTGAAAAGTTAAGGGTGTTCAAACAGTTTTGCAAAAGTAATGATTTTGAGAGGCCCATATCTCAGCAGCGGTTTGAGCGATTGTCTTGCGGTCATTTTTATAGGGTAGCTGCATCCCTTCTACTAAAGGTTGGATACTCTTCATCTATGTGAGTGACCCCCACTGCACGTGCAAAATACAACAATAAGAGGTGCAAAATTTGTTCCCATTTCAGTAACTCGGTAATTACTGGGGCGATTTCGCTGAAACTTGGCATACAGGTAGGCACCCACCAGGCAATGCATTCCCATGTGTTGCGGTTAGGGTGCTACTGCACGTGCGCACGTGCAGGGGGCGTTTCCAGATCTCGAGAACGGCTGGGCCGATTGCGCTCAAATTTGGTACACGGTTGGGGACCGGTTAGTAGGGTGCCGTGCAAAAGTCATTTTGGACCCCGTTTGCACGTGCGCACATGCAGAATGCCGCTTCCAGATCTCAGGAACGGCTGGGTCGATTGCGTTCAAATTTGGTACACCGCTAGCGACCGGTTAGAAGGGTGCTTTGCACAAGCCCGTTGAAAGTACCCTCTCGCCCTTCTGCACGTGCAGGGCTCACTATCTCGCTCGCTCGTTCTTCGCCGAAAAGGCGTTTTACTGGTTTATTGATGAATTGATGAGATTTCGGTCTCATCAATCGAATTCGGTCTCATCAATCGAATTCGATTTAGACGAAGGTCTGCGACCGAAATCTCATCAATTCATCAATAAATAATCATTTTCATTCATTTTGTCATTTTCCGAGGAGAAGGTCTTATATTCTAATGATACTTCCTACATTTATCATGCTCCTCGCGGCAGCTCTCAACGATATACGAAACTCCCTGAAATATTTTTCATTTCACCTGTCTCATAGGAACGCCTCCCTGTTGGTAACATTTGCAACATGTAACATGAGCATAAAGGTAAACGTAAGGTTATATTGACAAGAAATCAAAGTCAACACAATCGAAGTAGGTGCTTAATATGTATATCGCAGCATAAAATCATTCGTAAGGCACCACGAATTAAGTAATGGACACGTCTTTTGTAATGCGGCAACAACAGTGTTAGATCCACGTCACACATTGCAACGCAAGCCGGCCAAAAAAAAAAAAAAAACTTGTCAAACAGGTCACATCTGTGCAGCATGTATAGGTACATATTGATTGTACAAATAGAGGCCGTCAATCCGGACAGCCTTATTACACACATATGCTTAGAAATTAGATGCAAGTACAGTCGTGTTCCCTGCCAAACAACAACACATCCCGAAATACATGCATGTGCCTTTATAGGCACCAGCCAAGTCACTAATTGGTTAAGCACTTGCCACTTCATCCTGTGTAGCTAAAGGCTTTAGTCTCATGTTTTCTGTCTACCTTCTCATGTCTTGTCACTTTGCTAGGTCGTTGCTCTGACACTGAGACTTGCTGGATGTTCAATTTCCGTAAATGGCGCAGCAGTCACGCCATGATTCATCCCACAATGAGCGGCGGATGCCTATGTAGCAGAGGAGATCTCAGACTGGTCTCGGTTTCCGGCGTGGGGCTATGCGGGGCTTAATTTCGTAAAACATGGATGATGAGGGGCGTGGGAGATGGCTGGAATGATGTAACAAACCTAACTTCGTAGCAAAATATACAGTGGATGGCGGACGAGGCAAGAAATGCATCTCAACATACTCTGTCTCTACGATGCTAGGGCTGCTTTCCCGTGAGGATGTTTCGCTTGTGGCGCTTGTATCGTCCTCCCTGCTTTGAGTCGTGTGAGAGTTTTCTGAAGCATTGTCCCAAGTGAAATTCACATACTCGGCCCCAGTCCCGGAGGCGCGCGACCTATCGTTGGTGCGAAGATGATCGTCTGTTCCCGACTCCTGCCGGCTCACTTGCCAATGCTTTGCTGCAGCGGCAGCTCCTAGGGTCAACAGAATGAGGAGCATCACCGCAGGAATTCCGGTCGACGCTGGCCAGATCCATGTGACAGGAGGTGGTTGCGTTGTCAGTGGATCCAGAAGACTACACGTGTCCAGTGCCGGAACCAGTGTATAATTCTCAACACAACACTTCTGGCTATAGAACTCGGCCAGTATGGGCGTGGTGGTGCCGGCTGTGCAGCGAACGTTGAAGGCGATCTGGCGCCATAGGATGTTCTGCTGAATTTGCTTCGCGAGTTGCTGCGTACGGCCCACCTCGGGGAAGTGCCGCGTTCGGGTGATTATGTTGTTACAATGGCACGAGCTGGCTATTGTGATGTTTTTCAGTCTGGTGTGCGTTTCATCTGAAAATAATAAGGAGTTGTGCTCAACATCAGTCACCGCAATATCCTCGAGAGCAACAACTCCGCCGGCGCCAGCATTCAGCAGCTCCAAGGCATTGGCTCGGAGGAAGCCCACCGATAGCGTTTGCAGTGATGCCGACCGATCAAGTGTAACGTTGAGAGAGTATGGGGCCAGCTCTTCGACTTTGGTCGAGCGAATGGTGAAGGTGGACGCCTTTATGTGAATCCCTCTCGAATCGACGCGTCCGATGTGGCTGTCTTCGATCACAACCTCGTCGCAAGTACCTTTAATCCCGAACCGGTGGACGTTTCCCAGGTAGCTGGAGCGAATCTTCAGGCTGGCCCAACCACCATTGTTCTTTGCTCGAAGGCACCCGCTGCCGACGTGAGTGAAGTGCACCGAATCCAGCAACACGCTGTTTGTTGGGCCGTCAAAAGAGCCAAACGAGCAACGTATTAATTCAGAGACGTTGCTGATTCGAAGCTCATGGATGCGCGCTCCGAATGCACCTGGGCCCGGGACGAGAGTACCGACGTTCTGTAGAAGTACACTCTGGATGACAGTGTCGTAATATTCGAAGGCACGTGTTCCGATAAAACACCGGTGTATGTCGCTGATGATTATCATTGGACCGGGCGCGGACCACCCTAAGAAGGCACTTTTATACAGGGAAACTCGCCGAATCCGCTGCATTGTGATCGTCACAAGTCCCGGCTGTGCCACGGTGGACCAGTTATTCCTGTGAAACCGGAGCCATCCGATGTCACTGAAGTGTAGTCTTTGCAGGTTTGGGAGACCAGAGAATGTACCCTCGCCAATGACGATCTCCTGGCCATTCATTATTTGTATCGCTTGAATGGACGCCGGAAGCTGCTCTCCACTCAACCGTTGCTGAAACAGAGCGACATCCAGGTCATGCTATTTTTTGTGACCCGATGGGAAAGCGTTTTACTTCATGTACAGCCCACCGCTAAAGTAATGTAGGGTTTTACCGATCTCAACGGTTGGCTTTGACTGGCGAATGTTTAATGCGGAGTGATCGAAAAGAAGATGTCAATAGCTAAAGTTGCAGCTGCAAGGGTGACGATACATATAAGCTACATTCAAAGTTTCACTGTAGTCTGGCTAATCGTTCCTAAGCTTCAGAAGCAGAACATACCCATGACTGAAACCCCACATTACTTCTGCTGTGGACTGTACATCAACCATCACTGCGTAGTGCGTATGACACTAATGAGCCATGGCATCACCACTTATACCGGCTGCCACATACGTAGTTGGTCAGGTCAAAGGTTGCACTTTTTACTGTTTACAGGCATTTTAAGAATTGTGTTATAACATCGAGCAAAAGGCATGCTATTGAAAATACATCGAGTTATGATCATAGAGGCAAGGAGGCGGAGTGCTCGAAGTAGCCACCTCGCTGCGCCGCGCAGAGCTCTGTGCAGCACAGTGTCGGCCCTCATTTACCGAATAACTGTTCCTCACTAATGCTAATGCGATGTCCTGCACGACGTTTGGCAACGACAATGATCAGAACTGTGAATAATGCCTGTTCAATCCCATCAACATCATGTCATAAAGGAGACTTGCGGCGGGTTGGCGTCAGGATATATTGACTGAAGGTTGGCGTAGTCGACAAGTGTCCCCCGGTGCACTGGTGCGAGGATGTGGTTATAGGGGCTGTGGTTAGGGAAAGTGGATCAACAGTTTTCAGTTCAGGGTAGTTCAGGAATCATGATGGCTAAAGGCGGGGTTAGCCCTCGTCCCGTAGGGCTGTTGGCGGACCTTGCCACCCGTAGACGGGAACCATTCCCCCCTCCCGTCCTAAGAACGCCCCCCCCCCTGTCCTTTTCCGTCGATATCTCCTAAACGGCTGGAGATATCGCCACGAAACTTTCGGGACCCCTCCGGGCATCAATTTTACACATCGTTACCCAATTTTTTTCAGAGGCTATGATAGGTTGGCCACAAATGACGTCAGAGTGACGTCATGTTCTGTCATTTTCGACCGAAAAAAGACCTTCGCGAGAAGACCTGTCAGGCCTACAGCTTTGAAGATACAGAAAAATGATCAAGACATAAAAGGTGTAGAATTGACAGGACCACAAAACTGCTATCTCGGATGTTTTAAATTTTTGAGTTTTGACCCCCCAAAATAAAAAAAACATTTTTTGGATATATTAGCCAAACAATCAAAAAAGTTTTTTGAGTTTCGAACAAAATGGAATATATGTGATAGTACCTACCGTCTTCTATCTACATACTAAATTTCAGATCGATACCTCGTTTTTTGGCCAAGCTATAGCGAAAAAACTGTTCAAAAATGATGACGTCAAATTTTCAAACTCAATTTTTGACAATTCTAGACCTTTTTTTTAAATTTTTTTCCCGTTTATTTAGAAGCCAAACAACTAAGGACGAACGCATCTCATAACAAAACACAGGAAACGATGAGCACACAAACTGTTTCCCGAGTGGGGATGGACAGGGTCAGTGTCCCACTGTACATATTAGCACTGTTCGTTGTCATGGCATTTTTAGAGCACACATACAGAGTTCATACGTTTTGTCGTCGCTCGCTAGTCGCCAGCCAACACAGCGGACGAGCACAGGGCGACCGCGCCGGCGGCAGCAGCAGCGACAGGGCCGCCGCGGGCAGCCGACGCGGAGGACCGGGCGGGCAGAGAACGGAGGGCGGGCGAACCCGGACCAGACGGCCGGCGCAGCCAGCGCCCCACCCCCACCCGGGACCCGGTGCGCGCCGGGAGAACAATGGACTCAGTTGTGAAGGAACAAGGATTCGAAATGGGTTGTGAATTACCTGTTTCTCTTGATATGTTTGCAAGCCTGCCCCATTTAAGGACATGTGACTGCATTGAGTTTGATTTCAACGCGTAACGCTCTTCATTTGATGCTTCAATTTTGATTAAGGATAAAAAGTGCTGAAGGTGTGGAATACTTGAGTTATATTTTGCTTTGAATATTACTAACTTCGCTATTGTAGATATTAGCGTGCCTAAGGATCCTAACATAGATACACGTGGAAAAACCCATGACTGATTTGTAAATCTAAACGACAACTCATACTTGTGCTTTAAATGGTCGATGATCTCTTTTACATATTTTTGCGTCACATCGCATTCCCATACAAGATGAATTAGTGTTTCGTCGTTTAAATTACAAAAGGAACAAAGTGTGCTTTCAGCTATTCCTATCCGATGTAGGAAAGTATTTGTTGCCATTATCCTAGATGTAAAGCGATAATGAAATGATTGTAAATAAGTACTGCGTGTTGATTGACGGACATCGTCCAGTGTCTCTTCATGTATTTGGACATCTCTTATCCATTTACGTTTGACTGAGCTTTGAATATTGCTCGGTTTACTTTTAAGTTTGGCTATTAATACTTTATATACTTCGTGTGATATTTTGCGAGTTTTCCCTAATAAAGTTAATTTGAAAGGCATAATTGGGAGTGTTACGTTTTTTACCTCTTGAGCGGCTATCGAAAGCGCTGAGATGTTTCTTACAAGAGAGGCATGACATAAAAATGTCATTTTTACGTTAAACAGCTCACATAATTCGCTCCTACCACGCAACGCTCCCGTCTCTCTATTGAATAGGTCAACCAAAAAACGTAGGCCTTTTTCATCCCAGGACTTCACTATAGATTTCCTGAATTTCGTGTGGTCGGAGAACCACAGAGGCTCTGTCAGAAGCTCGGAAGGGGCGAGATGCACTGAGGCACAGAACGAAACCCATGCGTTTTTTAATACGTCTTTCCAAAACCTATTCTTAAAGCGTTTTGCAGTCACATCCTTCAATTTAGAGACACCAAAGCAGATAAGCTTTTCAACGGATGGCAAGTTGTTATTGACATGGCTTGCCCAAACTGCGTCACAACTTGACCAGTACAGTCTTTGTAACCACGATGTTTTTAAACTTTTAATGAATGCTTCTAATTCTACCATGTTGAGTCCACCGCTATTATAGTCTTGCACCAGTTTACTCCTCTTTATTTTGTCTGATTTACTATCCCAAATAAAATTGAACAGTAAACAGTTAATTTTCTTAATAATATCCCAAGATGGATTCGGCAAAGATGTGAAAAGATGTACAAACTTCGATAATAGCATTGCTTTTACCACAGTGATTTTGCCAAGAAGTGTTAGCTTTCGCCGTCTCCACTGTGCAATCTCTTGCACTAACTTAGGGATAACGAGACTTACATTTTTATCTTCAATGTCGTTATTTGTACTATTGTAAACAATCCCAAGGACTTTTAACTCATTGACTACATTTACGCCTAGATTGCTTAAGCATTCATTATCTTTGCTTTTACCAATCGGTAAACATTTAGTTTTGTCTACATTAACTCGTAAGCCTGAGACCTTTGTAAACTGTTCAAGTTCATTGATTACCCCTCTTATTGATGGCTGGTTCAACTGCGAAAAAACTATCAAATCATCTGCATATTGTGAAACACGCGCCTCTATTCCTTGTCCTAATGCAATTCCTTTTATGATCTCCGATTTTATCATTTGGCTAGTTAGGGGCTCGACAACTAAGTTAAAAAGGTAGCCTGATATCGGGTCACCCTGCCTTATGCCTCTTTCCATATAAATTTTATCGCCTAATTTTCCGTCAAGCAGGATACGAGCATGGTTGTTTGAATTCAAATAAAACGTTTTTACCATTTTTACGTAAAATGGTCCAAAGTTATAATAACGAAGCGCTTCTAGCAAAAACTGCCAGGAAACTGTGTCAAAGGCAGCTTCGAAGTCAATAGCCATTGCACAGCCAGACGATCCCACATTGTTCACGTGCTCTATGACGTCATACATCAACCTGCTATTCTCGCCTATAAATCTACCCGGGATATAAGCCGTCTGCGAGGGAGATATCAATGAACTTAATACTGATTTTAATCTGTTTGCAATTGCAGTAGAAACTATTTTGAAATCTACATTAAGTAACGAAATTGGTCTCCATCCCTTGATTGAATCCATAGGTTTCCCTTGTTTTGGTATAAGCGTGATGATGCTTTCCTTGTGTGAATTCAGTACTTTTTGAAAAAGAAGTCCCTCGTTTGTAGCGCGAAACAAGAATACTCCTATGAGCTCCCAAAAGTGTTTAAAGAAGGTGGAGGTGAAGCCGTTCGATCCTGGCGATTTGCCTTTCTTCATGCTCATTAAAGCACCATGTAATTCGTTTAACGTTAGAGGCATGTCTAAAGCATCTCGTTGGTCTTGCCTTAACTTTCGCGTAATATGCTTTCTGAGATACGTGGTGGGGTTTGCGTTGCTGTTTTTCTTATATTTTTCTTCTAAGTTCTTTGAAAAGTGCTTATTTATTTCTTCTTTATCATTAATGATGGAATCACCTATTTTGAGCGACTGTATTGAGTTTCTCACTGCATTTCTTTTTTCCAGCGACAGGAAATACTTTGTGCATCGCTCTCCCTCTTCGAACCATTTTACTCTAGACCTAGTTATTAGGCCTTGAATCATAGGTTTACGTATGTTTTCAAGATTTTGCTTAGCATCATCTAGACGGCGAAGGTTTTCATGTGATGGATTCATCTTAAACAATGCATCGCATCTGTTGACTTCTATTGTTGCTTCTTTTTCTTTTATCCTATTTCTTTTAGCTTTTTGTTTTGAAAAGCGTATTGTTTCTCCACGGATCATCATAAGTAAGGTTTCATAAAATAACCCATCATTTATGATAAACTCTATCGCACTAAAGTTCTTTGGATCACATATAAAGCAATCACTATAAATTGGAACCGCATATTGCTTTATTACACTACTAATGACCTTCACCACTAAGGTGTTGTATGAGTCATCGTCTATTAATGACTCATTAAACTTCCAAAGCCCAGGACC